CAAGTAAGCACTCTGAAGAGAATTGATCTGATGTGATGTATCGGTAAATAAAATCTCTGAGGCAAGCTCTTCTGTTCTTAGGGAGGGTTTCCAAATATGACTCGGGAACTTCCATTTCGGCCAATGCAATGCTGTCTATAGACGTGGCTGCTTTGAGAATTTGACTAGCACTTTCTCTAGAGTGATTCAACTTCTTTCTTGACTTCTCACTGAGACCTGCAGGGGGGACACGGGGTACCGGGAGCCACCACTTCTCTTCTTGCCGCTGAATTGACTTGCGAAAAGAGGCCGAACCATCTGCATCAGCAGCTACAATTCCTTGATCAACATACCAAAATTCTGTAGCTGTGAAGCTCTCTAATATTTCGAGTAGCATGTTATCAAGTTTGCGAAGGGCGGGAAGATTGATAAAAATATCTGTCCTAGGTCTGCAAGTCATTACCTCGAGTTTCTTTCCATCCGGAAATGTTTGCGAAGAAGGTATTAATTCAACAATGTGATCACTAATGCTAACAAGCCATTCCGTCTCTCTCTGCCACATTTCTTTCTTCTCACTAGGTAGTGGTTCTAGTCTCCATAGTTGCCCAAATGCAGTAGCACAAAGACTAGTAATGGCATTAGAGATTGCCAAAGCAGTGCAAACCCCTTTTCCTGAACCTGACATATCTTCACCAAGCAACAACTTTGCAAACCTCTCCTTCATCATATCAACATCTGGGATTTTTAAATCAATAGAGGTAAATTTGTTGTGATCCAACTCCAAGTTGGGTTTATGTTTTTCATCAGAACTCAAACGCTTTGAATTGGAAAGTGTAGCTTTGAGAATAGGCCAGCCAAGAGGCGTAGGAGGAGAAGAAAACCCTTTCGCTTTAGCTTCATCTGAAGTAGAAGTAAAAGTAGAAAGTGAATAGGTATAGGTAGAAGTAGAAGTAGAACTAGATCCATTGAAACTTGTTTTTCTAGACTCAGCACTTGAATTAGTGGCACAACAACGAGACCCTTCTTTTTTCTTGTGAGAATCTTCACTGTTTAGAGATAAAGTTTCCATCTTTGAGGAAAAAAACAGGTTTGAAAAGTTTTGAATTCGAAAAAGTGAAATGGGGTTGTTTGTGACTACTCAATGAAAAAAGAACATAACATAGGATTGTGTTGTGTTGACGATGAAGACACACGCGCTATGTTTATGTTTTTTGTTTGAGATGAATTTGATTTGATTTTGAAATTTCAAAGTTTGAAAAAATGGTTCTGTTTACATTGTAATGCAGATACAAGTTGAAAATTTTGTGCTTGGCAGCTGCATTGTTGGTTTTGAATATTGTACGTGGAATTTTCAAATGCCCTCTCTATAGGCTGCTGATGATATGGTAATAGCATAACTCAAAAATGGCTTATCGTATCGGGTTACGTGTGGCTCGTAGTTGCCTTTATTGAACTTCCATTTGCATTTTTTGTTGCAGGTTTAATAGACAATATTGCGGTTTATGGTTTGGACAATAGGCTGCATTTGTGAGAAATTGGCACTGAAAGTTTCTGAACCGCTTGGTTTTCTTTCACTGCAGGTTACGAGGTCGCGGTCGAGAGAAGTTTGAGTGGCTTGCATGAACAAAGTTGCTGCACGTACAGTACGTACTAGACTAATCGGAAAGGTGTTTCCGGCTTGTTCTGTGTCTGTTACTTCTTCTTCACTTTCCTGGTGAAGCTCCATTAATTCCTGAAGACAATTGTTAAGCAGCACCTTCTTGATGCAAGTTTTTTCTCGTCTATGAGGATCACAAAAGAAAAAGAACTTGTGTGTAGCAATACGACAGTACATTGGAACAAAGCCTGCAGCCATTTCACGACGTAACTGTGCCAATTTGGGTATAAGACCTCGTATATAGGCTTCCATTTCATGTGGCTGAAGGAAACCATCAGAATCCTCATCAAGCTCACTCATATCAATTCTTGCCTGTGTAAGTGAAACCGTACGCATCACGTAAAAGGTAAAATGGTATAATGGCAATTCTCCCCTGCTCATCTTTTTCGAACTTCATGAAGTTAGAAGGACTAAAGAATCATAGGCATTTAGGACCTATTTGTTCTGTACATACAGAAGCAATGTGGCAAAAGTCTTCATAATTCATCTTTTCTGCACCAGTAGCATCATCGATCACACAATTTTCTCTTAAGCACACCCACATTGCATCCAAATCATCAGCATTCAGAAGAAGATCTTATTGTTTCTTCAAAAAACCGATACTTCGCTAATCTCTGAACTCTATGACTGATTGATCCCTCTTGTTATTTTATTTGACATTGGTTTCATGGGAAAACCTTTCAATTGCTGTGTGCAGGCAATAAATTGCAGCTATGATGGTCTGAGATGAGGCACTCATTGGTGTTCATTTCGCGCCGCAACCCACGCCAACATGGAGTAAGATTCTTGGAAAGCGGTGCATGCTGGCATGAGGCTTTTGGAAATAGCTGTTGGGATATTTTTTTTATATTTTGTTTCGAGTGTAATTTCCATAATTACTAATGTAATGGGCAAAGGCTTTTAATATTTTTTGATACATGCCCTTTTTTTGAAATTTGAGTGGATTTTGACTAACCAATTTGGGCTTTGAGCATTGGATTTTAAAAATGGTCTTTGGATTCTTCGATTACGGACAGAGATGACTAAAACTCAAATTTCATATGAACTCCACGTTTTACATTCGAAGTCACTCTTGGATTTGCATAATGTCTTGAATCAGTCTCTTGATAAATAATCATGAACCAATCTTGAAATTTACAATTTTAAAACCTTAAAGCCATTTGCGAAATATGACTTGAACTCCTGCCTCTTGCATCATGTCAAACAAAAATTGTCACCATAAACCTTCTTAAACAAGCATCCTGCTTTCAAATTGGAAAAATCGTGAATTAAAATATGGACTCCAAAGCATTACATAAAACTCTGATTGAAGAGTGAACCATATCTTGATTACTACCAACCATGAAATACTAATAACTCAACCATTGTCCGGTTACTTAATCCATACACAACTCAAGGGCGCGCCTCGAGAATTATTCACTCGAAGACACAAGGAATGCTGGATTCCAAGTGCCTCTTTCTTTCGGAGTTTTAATCGAGAAAAGATATTGAGAAAGCGTTTGAGAAAATCAAAAGATTGAGTGAATAACAACTCAAGAGCGTGCCTCGAGAATTATTCACTCGAAGATCCAAGGAATGCTAGATTCCAAGAATCTCCTTCTTTTGGAGTTTGATCGAGAAAATGTTTTTTTAAAAATGATTTGAAGCGAAAATGAAATGGTCTCGACTAAATTATCATCTCAATAATTTGACCGATAATAATCATTAAAGTCATCATTGACTAAAGAATAAGAAAAAGTGGATAAAAAACGAAAATGAAAGTTTGGAAAAAATTGGTCTCGGGTTTGTCATTACTCGTCAATAATTTGACAAAGTTATAACTTAGGGTATCGTCATCGACCCAAAAAGATTTAAAAAAAAGAATTAAATCTCACAAAATTTAATGAAAATAAATAAATATAAGACTTTACAGAATCACATAAAAAAAGGGATAATGCTCCATGTGTGGTGTGTATTAGCTATAGAAATCATATGGGTCAAACCCATCCTTCCTTTTAGTTAAAAGCATGCCCGTTTTTTTATAAAATAAATAAATAAATAAATAGTGTTAAAGCCCAAGCTACCAGATCTGTTAAATGAAGTAAATTCAAACTTGATAAAGACAAAAAAAACCATATAACAGGCTAGTTCAGAAAAGAGAAAAAAACTAAACATTCCTCGATAAAACAACAAAATAGACTTCTTTCTCGTATGAGCCATTTCTCTTACTTAAACTTTCCTCGCGATTTGGATTCACTTCCTCTATTTTCATTCAAACCCTTCGTTTTGTTTCTAATTCGATGATTCTGATTGGGTCTGCGGTTGTTTCATTGTTGGTTCGGAAGTTTGGGGGGTTTACGGTTGAACAAGGTTGTTTGGTTTGTCGAAGTTGGAAGAAGGGGTTTTGGGTTGTGAAATCATGCTGGTTGGAGAAATTAAAGGGAAGTTCGACAGATTCGAAGTTGTTTGTGGAGGTTATCGTGGGTTCTGGGCATGAAATCGAAAGAGGTGAGAGCGGTGGTCGTGGTTTGTTGTTTCGCGGCGAAAGTTGAAGTTGAGCGGAAAATGGGTTAGCGTTTTGTACGATGAAGACGGTTGTGTTGTTTTGGGCTTTCTGGGTGAAGGTAAGAAGTCAAAGGATGAAGAACAGGGGAAGCATAGATGTTTAACGGTTGTTCCGGAGCTGGGTTGGAGGTTAGAGGAGAAGTGAAGAGTTTTCTGGTTATGGCTCTTTGGTCTAGGGTTTGGAGGCTGCTAGCTCCCCCTTTGCTGTCACTTCTGACGAGGTTTTATATGGAGAGAGTATGCAGAGGCTTGAGGTGAGGTAGTACCATTTTTTCTGTCTGTAGTGAGGTAAAGACATTTTACCACATCCCTGATTTTACTGCTAGTAAATGGGACTTATGTATTTTTACTGTGGTAAATGGTATTCAAGATGATTTGTAATTATGTTTGAGATGTTTAGACAACAACTTGACACACCATGATGACTATCATAAAGAATGTACGAATTGTTCTTGTGCTCACATGAGCTCCTCTCTTCTATACCGTTTTATGCTCGTTAATTGTCTTTGATTTGTTTTGCAAGTCATAAACCTCATACCTCCATGTCTTGTTTGATAGCAGGTCTGGTTCTGGTTTGATAACAGGTCCTGAAATATCAAACTTGACAGCTTATGAAAATCATGAAGACTCTCCTTCCATGACGGTTTTGCGGTAAATAACCTGTCCTTGCGGGAGCTTGGTGTGTTCGTTTGGAGAAGATGGTGCAGTAACTTGTCTCTTCTTCTTACAAGGTTTATGAAATAACACAAGTTGGTTTGTATGGCTATGTACAAGTTTATCAACTTATTGTCATGGCCTGTTGGTGTCTTTTTTGCAGTTTTCAAAAGGACGGTTGTGGGACCCCAACTCTACGTACTAGCACAAGCTTCACATTGCTGGAAATTTTGAGTGTAATATGTTCAGAAGATATGTCTAAGCAATCAAGTAAGCACTCTGAAGAGAATTGATCTGATGTGATGTATCGGTAAATAAAATCTCCGAGGCAAGCTCTTCCGTTCTTAGGGAGGGTTTTCAAATATGACTCGGGAACTTCCATTTCGGCCAACGCAATGCTGTTGATAGACGTGGCTTCTTTGAGAATTTGACTAGCACTTTCTCTAGAGTGATTCAACTTCTTTCTTGACTTCTCACTGAGACCTGCAGGGGGGACACGGGGTAGCGGGAGCCACCACTTCTCTTCTTGCCGCTGAATTGACTTGCGAAAAGAGGCCGAACCATCTGCATCAGCAGCTACAATTCCTTGATCAACATACCAAAATTCTGTAGCTGTGAAGCTCTCTAATATTTCGAGTAGCATGTTATCAAGTTTGCGAAGGGCGGGAAGATTGATACAAATATCTATCCTAGGCCTGCAAGTCATTACCTCGAGTTTCTTTCCATCCGGAACTGTTTGCCAAGAAGGTATTAATTCAACAATGTGATCACTAATGCTAACAAGCCATTCCGTCTCTCTCTGCCACATTTCTTTCTTCTCACTAGGTAGTGGTTCCAGTCTCCATAGTTGCCCAAATTCAGTAGCACAAAGATTAGTAATGGCATTAGAGATTGCCAAAGCAGTGCAAACCCCTTTTCCTGAACCTGACATATCTTCACCAAGCAACAACTTTGCAAACCTCTCCTTCATCATATCAACATCTGGGATTTTTAAATCAATAGAGGTAAATTTGTTGTGATCCAACTCCAAGTTGGGTTTATGTTTTTCATCAGAACTCAAACGCTTTGAATTGGAAAGTGTTGCTTTGAGAATAGGCCAGCCAAGAGGAGTAGGAGGAGAAGAAAACCCTTTCGCTTTAGCTTCATCTGAAGTAGAAGTAAAAGTAGAAAGTGAAGAGGTAGAGGTAGAAGTAGAAGTAGAACTAGATCCACTGAAACTTGTTTTTCTAGACTCAGCACTTGAATCAGTGGCACAGCAACGAGACCCTTCTTTTTTCTTGTGAGAATCTTCACTGTTTAGAGATAAAGGTTCCATCTTTGAGGAAAAAAACAGGTTTGAAAAGTTTTGAATTCGAAAAAGTGAAATGGGGTTGTTTGTGACTACTCAACGAAAAAAGAACATAACATAGGATTGTGTTATGTTGACGATGAAGACACACACGCTATGTTTATGTTTTTTGTTTGAGATGAATTTGATTTGATTTTGAATTTTCAAAGTTTGAAAAAATGGTTCTGTTTACATTGTAATGCAGATACAAGTTGAAAATTTTGTGCTTGGCAGCTGCATTGTTGGTTTTGAATATTGTACGTGGAATTTTCAAATGCCCTCTCTATAGGCTGCTGATGATATGGTAATAGCATAACTTAAAAATGGCTTATCGTATTGGGTTACGTGTGGCTCGTAGTTGCCTTTATTGAACTTCCATTTGCATTTTTTGTTGCAGGTTTAATAGACAATATTGCGGTTTATGGTTTTGACAATAGGTTGCATTTGTGAGAAATTGGCACTGAAAGTTTCTGAACCGCTTGGTTTTCTTTCACTGCAGGTTACACGGTCTCGGTCGAGAGAAGTTTGAGGGGCTTGCATGAACAAAGTTGCTGCACGTACAGTACGTACTAGACCAATCGGAAAGGTGTTTCCGGCTTGTTCTGTGTCTGTTACTTCTTCTTCACTTTCCTGGTGAAGCTCCATTAATTCCTGAAGACAATTGTTAAGCAGCACCTTCTTGATGCAAGTTTTTTCTCGTCTATGAGGATCACAAAAGAAAATAACTTGTGTGTAGCAATACGACAGTACATTGGAACAAAGCCTGCAGCCATTTCACGACGTAACTGTGCCAAATTGGGTATAAGACCTCGTATATAGGCTTCCATTTCATGTGGCTGAAGGAAACCATCAGAATCCACATCAAGCTCACTCATATCAATTCTTGCCTGTGTAAGTGAAACCGTACGCATCACGTAAAAGGTAAAATGGTAGAATGGCAATTCTCCCCTGCTCATCTTTTTCGAACTTCATGAAGTTAGAAGGACTAAAGAATCGTCGGCATTTAGGACCTATTTGTTCTGTACATACAGAAGCAATGTGGCAAAAGTCTTCATAATTCATCTTTTCTGCACCAGTAGCATCATCGATCACACAATTTTCTCTTAAGCACACCCACATTGCTTCCAAATCATCAGCATTCAGAAGAAGATCTGATTGTTTCTTCAAAAAACCGATACTTCGCTAATCTCTGAACTCTATGACTGATTGATCCCTCTTGTTATTTTATTTGACATTGGTTTCATGAGAAAACCTTTCAATTGGTGTGTGCAGGCAACAAATTGCAGCTATGATAGTCTGAGATGAGGCACTCATTGGTGTTCATTTCGCGCCGCAACCCACGCCAACATGGAGTAAGATTCTTGGAAAGCGGTGCATGCTGGCATGAGGCTTTTGGAAATAGCTGTTGGGATATTTTTTTTATATTTTGTTTCGAGTGTAATTTCCATAATTACTAATGTAATGGGCAAAGGCTTTTAATATTTTTTGATACATGCCCTTTTTTTGAAATTTGAGTGGATTTTGACTAACCAATTTGGGCTTTGAGCATTGGATTTTAAAAATGGTCTTTGGATTCTTCGATTACGGACAGAGATGACTAAAACTCAAATTTCATATGAACTCCACGTTTTACATTCGAAGTCACTCTTGGATTTGCATAATGTCCTGAATCAGTCTCTTGATAAATAATCATGAACCAATCTTGAAATTTAGAATTTTAAAACCTTAAAGCCATTTGCGAAATATGACTTGAACTCCTGCCTCTTGCATCATGTCAAACCAAAATTGTCACCATAAACCTTCTTAAACAAGCATCCTGCTTTCAAATTGGAAAAATCGTGAATTAAAATATGGACTCCAAAGCATTACATAAAACTCTGATTGAAGAGTGAACCATATTTTGATTACTACCAACCATGAAATACTAATAACTCAGCCATTGTCCGGTTACTTAATCCATACTCCAACTAAATCAATGCTTTTGACCTTGATTATGCAACATGACCAATTTGACCAAGATTAGGTCAAACCTGACTAACCTTTAGTAAATACTCATTCTTGGCCTGATGAACATATTTTTTGGATTTTATGAGTAATGGTTGGTGGATGGACGTACAGGTGCAAATCATACAGGTAGGACAAATTTGGGTTATGACAGATATGCACGACACCAATGCATAACAACAATCTAAGCACACAAGGTGCACACGATCCTCCTGATCACATTTTATACGTCGAACATACATATTCCACACATCACCATATTCATACATAATAACATACACCAATTTAATTATTCTAATTAAACGACTAACACGGAAATCACATTCCAACACCACACATACACCCTTAACTGTTCAACACCAATCTCATATTTAATCATGACCAACAAGGGTCCCACAACACAAGAGAACAGAACAGAACAACACAAAAACACAAACTACTGTCATGCTCGCTGGCTCACTCGCCTAGCGAAGCATCAGCGAATGCTCGCTACTCGCTCGCCCAGCGAACTCCCAGCGAAGGTAGACAGTGGCTACTGGAAGCACTGGCTACCCAGTTCTCCTAGCGAAACATCAGCGAATGTTCGCTACTCACTCGCCTAGCGAAAGTGCTGGCGAATGTCTGCGACTTCACAAAAACCCCACTGTTCAGAATCGGCAAAACTCCCCGAAATTATCCGATTCCACTCAAACCAGTTCTCACAGCACTAGTTCAACATTCTGCGACTTAGCTACCTAATCCATTCTAGGTTCCACTCGATAAAACCTCAGCTCTACCGATTAAATCATTTTCGGCTTAAAATGGTAAACTACCCGAAAACCCTAAATCATCCAAACCATCGTTCTCCAACCACATGCAACAAACCTATCTTACCAGCAACAATTAAAATCACAACAACACATCAAACATGTTCATCAATTCCTACGGGATTGGCGAAAATCCCTTCTACCCAACATTCATGCAAACATACTGTTGCACCCTAAAATTTGCCCAACCTTATTCACTTGGTTTATATTTCAATATCATTAGCATTTGCATATAGAGACATGTACATAGCCTAACCATCTGCATAGCATAAGCATAGCAAGTCATCCAACAGGGGACCAATCATTATTATCATCTCTAGAGGCCTATCAAGAGGTTATCATTCAAATTCAATCTCATTCAAGTCATCAGAAAGAATGGGGAAGCTATCAAGTCAATGGATCAAGCAGTTCATCTATCTCCTGGCTGAGGGTATATGGGGATCATCAAGGAAAGTATGAGCTGTGAATTGAAGGCATGGGGAGTATCTAGACATCATTGGAGGATTTAGAAAGTCATTTGGGGAAGGAAACAAGTCATTGGTAAAGTCACAAGAATTACAGTTGAAGACAGTCAACTAGGGTTTCATCTGGGTCAACCCTGGGTCAACCCTAGGTCAAAGGATTGTTGGAGAGGCATTAAGGGCTATTGAAGAGATGTGGGGTTCATCATTTGACATGGAGAATAAAGATATGGTGATATGCTAAGAAGAAATCAAGAGAAATCAAGGAGAAGAGGAGGTTCTAAATTAGGGTTTCTATGTAAAATCCCCTAGTTTAGGTCAAATTTCCAAGCAAGATAAGTAAAAATGCAAGCTTCAAATGGATCCTTGGCCAAAATAAAACTTGTATAGGATCTCAATACCTTTAATTTTAGTGGTGGGAGACATCAAGGAGATTTATAGAACTCAAGTTATGGTCCTTACAAGTTACAGGTCATCTGAGGTATCTGAAATTTTGTCTGTGAAAGTGACTTGACTCCCAAGCAATATTTACCCCTCAAGGAGATTTCAAATGAATTTCTGGTCAACATAAGAGTTGTTCCTTATTGTCTTAGCTTTCTATAATGGTATAGTATGCCTTCATATGATTTGGGGAACTCTACTTATGGTCTTGGCAAGCAAAGGGTATTTTGGTCATTTGTGAATTACAGGTCATTTTAAGCTATGCCCAAAACTCATACAAGGAAGCTTCAAATGGAAAACTTTACAACATCAAACTTGTTCCAAATGACATTTTGAGTTTAGAAAATTGACCATGAGAGATTGGAAAGATTCATAGCACAAGGTTTCAAAATTGTTGGATTTAATGAATAAAAATGGCCTTAAAAATGAGATTTTTCATATCTTGGCCAAATGAAGCAAAATTATAGGTCATTTTGAATGGAAAGATCATTTTAAAGACATTGGCTAAAGTAGAATTTTGAGCTTAGTTCATGTTTTAAGAGTTATCCATGGTTGCTTGTAATGGAAGAAACATAAACCAAATTCAATGGAAAGAATGCAAGGGAAACTTCTCCAAGTTTCTAGGAGGTTCTAACCTCATGTATATATTGATGCAAGATGGTTCATGCCATGGTTGGTGATTCCATTTGTTCAAAAACCTCAAGTTTTACACACTTTCTCATTTTTGCATAAGCTTCACAAACTCTCCATAATCTCCATCAATTCTCACTGTTCTTGATTTGATCATCATCTAGATCATTCATAGGTCAGAATTGTATCAAAGAATTGGTTGAATTGGTCAAAGATTGTACCATTCATCTTCTTCATCCAACTTGCAAAAAGGTTTCAAGTCCAAGATTCAGGAGGTTTACACACGAATCATTGCATACAAAACTCTTAATTCAAGACACTGAGCAAGTCCCAATCACTGCAAGCATCAAATTCAGAGAGTTGCTTAACTATTTCTCCATTTTTCAACAGGTTGGTATCTCTGCTCGATTTGCATAGTTTAGGTAGCATGATAAGGTTTTGATAGAGTAGAATGGTTAAGATAGGATAGAGGACTGAGTATGATGAGTTTGGACAAGTTTCAAGGAGTTTGATCATGGTGCATAAATTCTGTTAAGGTCCATAGCACGTGGAATATAGCATGATAATTCATTGTATGTGGCTTGAAATGATCAGGATGAGGTGTAGATTAGTTTAGGATGAGTTTTGGCAAGAATTGAGACATTTG